GCGGCATTCTCCCTTGCGGCATGCGGCAAATGTCACTGCAATTGCCGTACTCACCCGCCTCCCCGCCAATCGATAGGACGCGATATTTTTCGTTGATTGCCTTGCTTTTTTATTGGATTTGATCATTTTTTCTTCTGTTTCTTTTTCGTTTTCATGATTATTGGACTTGATTAATTAAAATGACTCCTTCTATGTAAGCGACGATCAAGACTGCATTGAAATTGAAGAAAGCGGTCAGCCAATTCGAATAATCAAAGGACTCCCCACCACACAAATTGCGCGCTCCAACATTCCATCGCAATCCTGTGATACGCGGCGGGTGCGGCGTGTGCGACGCCGTGTTAAGGGAAAAGTTCCCGGACCCCTGCTAAAGTACTCCACTTCAAGTTTGTGCCTCAATGATAGGCGCCAGGGTTGTTTGACTCATCGCGAATTTGGACGCGCAATTTGACGCGCGCATCCGGAATCGCACGAATCGCACGTCCCCCATCGTCGACCCTAGAGCTTCTCCACACTAGCCTTTCCGGGATTAGTTCAACTTTTTCGCAGGCTGTGTCGTCAAGCAATAAAGCCGTCTACCGCCACTCCTGTATGCCAGTACTTTGCAACATCGGCTGCACATCAGAAGCAAGAGCAAGGGGGAGATTTATAGCAGCTCACCTGTCCAGTCCTTTTAGGGCCTTGATGATTTCCGTAAGTTCATCACCGCTGTTGTGTTCCTCTTTGGCAATTTCGAGAAATGCTGCGAAGTTCATTGGCTGCTCTAAAAATTTATTCAACTGAAAGCTCTCATCAAGAACCAGTGCTGCCGAGAAAGTCGCTTTTTTTCTTTCAAAAGAAATTTGGCCAGCAACAAATGGTGTTAAAGATTATTTATTAGTGTGCAGCCAATATAAGTTACTTATGTTTCCCACATATTCGAACCTTTTGCCCCAGTTCCCACGGTCGCCGCCTCGCACGATGCAGCGTCTACGCGGCAGTTACTGTAACTTCCCAATGGAAACTCAAATAATTCCCCTACAACCCCTTGCCCTTGCGGCCCAACGCGCGGCAAGCCGTTTAGATACAAGGCCCCACACCCGATTCCATGTTAGCTTCACGCATGCGATGCATGTGGCTTTACAACCCACCTCGACTAAGTTGCACTAATTCGTGTCAAGTGGTGAGGACTCCAACTAATATTACTGAAGTTATGAGAATATAACAATGTAAAATAAGTACAATATAGAGTAAAAGGGTTTGAGGTGGTTGAGGGATCGACACTTATGAGTGACGAACCCGGACTCAAACACTTTCTCAAACTCGGGTGAAATTCCCAGGGAAATCAAAAGTTTTCTTTCTCCCCACTGAGTGAACACTTAGAAAGGAAATGCTGATAAAACATGTTGAATGATACTGAGAGAAAAAGCAGAATAGAAAATCGTGCACAGGAGCCATTGAAAACAAATCCTCAATCAATTTAAATAAAATTGCCTTTGAATAAATATTGCTTGTATGCGTGTTGCTTATACGTTCAACAAAACTTACTGGTTTTGGAGAAGTAAGCTGCGGTTTTGGCAGCAGTTGGCGAGTAGCCAAGACTACGCAAGATGCATCTCAGTTGAGGCGCCGAGTGCACGATCCCATCTTGGCTGTACACATTGAAGCATTCACGGATCTCTGAAATAGTCGAGAAAATGAAGGAAACCGTTGAAAACTGTCTTTCCGATTTCCATCAAACAGTATATACTCAAGCACTTGATTTCCTTTACAGATTAAATTTCTGAATTAATCCAAAGAATAAGAGCAAGTCACAGAAAAATCACAGTGAATATCTAACGCATAGACTCATTTTGGAAAAAATATGTTGTTGACAATATATAACGTACAAGATCGAGAGGTGATAACTCTTTAACGCATTTTGCCAGTCTTGGTTCGTCTGGACCCTCCAGAAAGGAGCGTTTCGTAAAACAACAAAACCCGTATGTAGCACTTTGTTCTAAAGTTTTTGAACAGTCTTTATCAGTTGCTAACAATTTTTAAAACCCTCCATCTAGCGAGATCTCGTCACAAATGCATCACATAACAAATGAAGCGCAATAGTCTCTGTCTGTAAAAAAGTCGTAAAGAATCGAGTAATTACTCCTTTTTCCTCACGCTTCTTTTCACCCATTACTTGTTATTATCACCTGTCTGTCACCGACGTTTTACCCTCTTTACCCATATCCCTTCCAAATCTGAATCCGCCTGGAGCAAACGATGCGAGAGCACTATTTACCCTTTCCTGCCCCACTTTGCCGGGAATAGGCCGGATCTCTATCGAAATTTTTTCAAGAAGATGAAACCGACTAAAAACTCGTCTAGAGGGGTTAATTTGACCCGTAGAACACGAATATCGCATCCATTTGTCATGAAAATGTCTGGGGGCACTACTTAGGGGCAAGTTTCTAGCAAGATTGGTGACCCAGCTCCATTTGGCGCCGGCGCTTATGGCGCGAGTGCTGGGCATCTTTATGACGAGTGGATGCGATATTCGTGTTCTACGGGTCAAATCCCCCCCCCCCCCCCTCAACTAGGCAAGTTTCTAGCCGGTTTCATCTTCTTGAAAAAAATTCGATAGAAATCCAGCCCATTCTCTAGAAAGTGGGGCAGTAAAGGGTAAATAGTGCCGATGCGAGTTCTTGGTTGTGTGTTCGTTTGTGTGCGATGAACACGCACACAAACGAACACACAACTTCTATACAATCCTGCTCTTTCCCAACAAAATGAGTGGAACTGCAGTGATATTATTCAAAAAATATAAATTTCTGAGCACACATGGGAATGTTAAACCAAGGCGTCATTCCAAAGATGAAAGGGTCAGAAAGGGCGAAGAGAATCCAGGAGCAAAAGCCACACTGGTAACAGAAAAAGGTGTTGCTGGGGAATAACGGCACCAAAACATCCGACCCAATAAGAGAAACGAGCGACAAGAAATGATAGGAGGAAAAAAGGTTGACAAAAGAGCAAGAGGTAAGAGATGGGTAGGTGAGAGTGTAGATTCGGCGCGCCTACTTATCATGATCACAGCATACCTAGGAAGTGAACGAAAATGGAAAAGAAGCAATAGTCCAGCAAAAGACAGCTCAGTGTTTCACCTTCTACCCGAGGTCAGAACAGATCAGACAAACTACGCTTCAAATCAAATATCTGAACAGTTCATTTGCTGTTTCATGATGGGTGGTCTCAGTTCTACGGATGTAGTGAACTACCGACTAGAATAAGCATACGCAGAAAGACTGATATTAGCAGAACAATATAAATTATATGGAAACAAGGAAAAAGCCAAACCCCCGAAACGCAGTACGATTTGGTAATACATAATTCGACGTTGTGTCCGATTTAGTTGTACCTTCACCTGCCTTTACCAACTTCGCTGAGTTGGGATAGTAGTTTGGCTCTGATTTCGGGAGCGCTTCAAATGTACTATGGCAAGTTTTCCTTGCCCATTCTGGCATTTTTTAGTTATAGAATGAAAATGATGTTGTTCAGAAAGAGAAGATCCGGGCTGATCTTTCGTGGAGATATATGTATTATAGTAGTGCTGACAGGAAGGGGTATTCTAGCACCACTGTTGCGCCTCGTATGGATATCGTCATGGTTCTAGGCGGATGCCCTGGTGATGCGGACTGTATGTGAATAGAGCTTATGTAAAAGATGAGAGAGCTTATTTCAGACATCGTTGGGGCAAGGACAGAAGCATGCGGAGCCTTCCGATCACAGGTTGATTGAGCTAAGGGAAATAATTTCGTGCAATTACACTTTCCGAGATAACGATGATGGCAGATTGACGACATACTGTTTGTGAACGATCATTCAACTACTGTTTCGACAGTAGGACTGAAAAACGAGTTTCGGTAAAAACGGAAAGGGGTAAGCTTGCTAGGCAGCCCACTTCTAATCGTTTTGAAGATTTAGAGCAAACGGTACACAGCTGACTACAGGCGGTTCGAAGAGCGCCTTTGCAATACTTTTGGTCGACATGTAGATCCATCGTAGAAGCTGATTCATTCGAGGATTCTCATTGCTCTATAACCGACAAACAGTGAAAGTAAACATAGTTATTAAAGAGAGAAAGCAATCACAGCTGTCACTAAAATATAGATAGAACAAAAGCTGTTCAGAAAAAAAAACAATCATATACCAAGCCGAAGCGCGAGGTCAATACTCTTTCTTATTTCAGTATGGGTAGAAGAGCCTAAACTACCACTGCAACTTTATACGACTAGTAGTTTCCTTGAAGGTACAATGCACAATAATTTTGAGATACCATTTTCAAAGAAGAAAGCAAAAGTGATGGGGAGAATAGTGCATCATAGCGAACAAAACGAGAAAATCCGTCGGCTTCGCGAAAACTAAGGCTTTCTAAAAGTAGTGGAAGAAAGGTTGTATGAGATCACCACGGCGGGAATAGCATACAGGGGTGTTAGGACGAAATCTCATTTGTAGCGACAGCGCTAAGAGCTGACTAAATGGGCTGAGGCAAAAGTGTCCAAAACTGCCTTTTGCTGTAATCATAGGCCACGTATAGTTCTTAGTATTTCCGACATGGGAGTCCCTTGAAATGGTGTAGCCTCCACAACTGGGTGTTGTATTTAGGCTATACAATCTCTGGTGATATCTATTCCAATGTTTTCCATAGCTCTTCAACTGCCTTAAAAGTGACGCAGAGATGGCCTTAGGGGAAAAGGTTAACGTCTACACATTCGCTACTGACCGTCGCTTGTGGCGACAGCGGATTTTATACCCGTTTGAGCAGTGGAACCTTGGCCTCTGAAGAACATGAGAACGTCGAAACTTTAGGCCGTTGATTAATATATTGTTCCACCCGAAACCCTCGCACAGCATAAGGATATTCTGATCATAAACAACTATGCCCCGGTTAAAGCGAGAGAGGAGTTGGATATAATGTCTACAATTAATCTCCGTTTACTTTACAAGTTTTCGCTTTGAAAAGTATTCTATTCCCACACTTTTCACTATATTTCTATGAGAGAAACTGCATCCAGTGGACAAGCGGGTTTGGAATGAAACTGAAGACGTGGCTCCTGAAGATTGACAATGTTAAAGACATTGCAAACTATTTGAGCTAATTAAGAAAAGTGCTTCAAACTAAATTTTGAGGTAAAAGGTAGGAAGAATTTCTTGCTTCCACTCCTAGAGGCCATCTTGACCATTAAAAAGATGTACATCATTGCTAATCCATCGGATTATACCAGTACTCAGACAACTTCACTCTCTCATATGACTGTGGCTACAACCTTGGCCATAAAAATAGTTTCTGGGTAATCGCAGAAGAACACCATTTCGATTTAAACAAAATTTCAAAACCAGTAGAGGTTTCAAGATATGACCGATATCGCGTACAAGAGCTATTCAACAAAGAAACACCCTCACCATTGATCTGCTCACGCGAGAAGAATTCTGTCTGAAAAAAGTGTCAATCAATAAATTAGTATTGATCAGAAATCGGTAAGACTACTGCAACAATCGATAATTAGGCGCAACTCACCATATCTTGTGCAGAATGCGGCCCCAAATAGAGCGTGCGATCGCCGTCGATCGACTGTTTGATGACAGCTGACGGTCAACTCTCAAGACCACAGCCACGAAACAAGCTTGTTTATCGAGAACAGAGGAAATCATCCAGTACAAATCTAAGATTTATGGAAGTGCGGTGAATTTGAGCTGGTTTATTCATCTGGCAATTAAAACAAGTATGAGACCTTTGCTTAAAGTCATAGTTTGACGCTGGCCATGCCGTATCAGGTCCGTTTGAACTCGGCCTGGCTGGCCTTTGGCTGACTGCGTCAGCCTTTGGGACTATATGGCGTAGAGCAGGGAACAGCATTAAGCAGAGCAACGCATGCCTTCTTTGGAGGTCGTGCTCCATGAGAGTCAGTTTGAAAGGATTAGGATCAGATGGGCTTGGCAATCCGCACTCGAAAGGTTCCTGATTCAAATGGATGTCGAATTCACAGCGCTTTCCAAACCCAATCGGCTGTGTATCTACGAGTTCTTGCTATTAAAAGATAGACAGTAGATGTCCTATATAGATATTTTTGAAAGTCAACTTTTTAAGAGGGTAGATCTATAAAATAATTCTTGTAACAATTATAACCAATCGGATCGCTTTGTGAACGCCGGGCTCTCCTCCTTCGTGTGTGAGGTTGGCCTGCCGCCCACGTCCCTCCCAAATTCGGAAGCTCCGACCCAGAGCAAAATGAATTATGGATTTCCTTAAAAGCACACACACACTCACTTCGTGAGCAACTTGCCTGTCATGAGCGGATTCGTGTTCAAATCATGTGCGTTGAAGTAACTTGGTACATTCCACCCTTCTTTCATCTTCAGTCGTCTCACCTGCCATTAGCCCTCCCATATATTACCTGTACTTCTATAAAAATTGGAAGCCCCTGGCCCAAAGTAACAGTTTTCGTGCACGCCCTACCCCTGTGAGTGGATTCTAGACGTTCCCTTCTACCAGCAGTATTCCTATGCTGCCGCCTGCATCTCTACCAAATTCAAACGATCCAAACCCAAGTTCATTATATGTGCGCACGCCCCAACTCTGTGGGTGAAGTCTAGTCGTAAAACCTGCTTATAGTATTCTGCCGCCGGTACTCTTACCAATCTTGAACGCTCCAC